AAATTATAAATGCTGATAAGGCAATTTTCGTGTTTGCATAAACTTTAGGGAAATATTTAGGCAGACAGTTGTAGTTTTATCCTCACTCTTATCTAATCGTATGAATACGATGTTACTGTATCATGTGAAAAGTACAGTAAATTAGATACACAAGCAATTGATAGGTGAATTAACACTATTGTTTCGATATGGGAAACAAACAGTAGATGCATATGATAAGTTTTACAGAATCAATAAAAAGCTTTATATATCACCCAATCAGATTAAAATTTAACAACTCCATCGATCAGTTATATCGATAATCAGTTTGATTGTGTTATCTATAAACAAGCGAAAGGATGCAACTATAAAAAGCCTCTATAGTTTTTTGACTTATAACTAAAAACGATAGTTCCCATCTCATATGTCAGTCATCTCATAGAAGGAAATATCATCATGAAAATTTTCGTTATATAAGTTGAGACGAGTTCATTAAGCTTTAACTTAAATGAATTTTGAATTATTTCAATAACTTGGTAGTTTATCATGTATCCTTAAAACTGTTGAGGAATATTTATAATTCCGGGTTGATGCTCACATGTATGTTCTCTTACCTGAATGATATAATTTTGAAGTTATAATTGCGTACTTTGTACAGAATTGAGATTTCCGTGTTTACTTCACAATCTTTAAATCATCTCATTTTATTGATCTTGTCAATGCTTGTCTCAACTTTTTAATAACATGTCATTACCCACCAAAATATTTGTTGTTTTTTCTAAATGACAGTAAAAAGACAATATAATTGCTTCTTTTCATTTATTGATCATAACGAGCTAAAAAGGTAGGAAAGTTGAATCTATCGTTTTAAAAACATTTGAAAGTTGTATTTTCAAATACTAACTAAAAGCTCATATTTCATTCTCATAAATGATGTAAGATAACATGATAGTTAATAAATACTACTATCTCAAGCAATATTTTAAGCTAATAAGCAATAGTCATAGATTTTAGACAAATATCTTTGTTTTAAGAAATTTAAAACAATTAGTCCCTTTGATAAATTTCGATAATGCAATGAGAAGACGAAGAATATCAGAACTATGTGATATATTAGCGCGATACATTTCGAACAATCTGGTCACACATATACTGTGTAGTTGACCTTTTATTTTTATATATAAATGCTCTTAACAAGTATATGTATGACCAGATTGTTCGAAATGTATCGCGCTAATATATCACATAGTTCTGATAATCTTCGTCTTCTCATTGCATTATCGAAATATCTTTGTTTCACAATGGTTAAAATTTTATTTATTGCCTGTTAGTGATAGATGATATTTACCAACCATAGTCTAGTATTCAAGGTAAGCCTATTCTATGTTTTATCAAATAATGTTTAGACATCTTTTCACAATGTAAGCACCATAGGAAGATTTAGGCATTTATCCACACATCCTCAAGGTCTTCTAAATAACTGGTGTAATCACATGGGTAGAGACGTTTACGTTTGACTAACAGTCTTTTTCTGAAATGGAATATCAGTTTATGGAAAAGTTTGTCTGGATTAGCAAAGCATGTTTAACACGTTCTAGACCGTTAAAAACTTTAGATTCGGATGGCATTAGATGTGTAAATAAGATAGGACAAATTTTGCAATGGTAAGGTTCAAGCAAGACCACTGAGTAAACTAGTTGTTCATCCAAACTTCTGATTGTCTGAAGTATGTGTTTTGAAAGAGATCAATCTTTGCATGGATTACAAGATATCCCTCTTTTAATAGTTTTCCAACTACATTCACTGTTTATCTTGCTAAGTTATGAAAGATGATCATTTACATAATTATGCATAATCTTCATGCTGTCTGATTTCCTTTTCATCATTTCACTACTTTTGGTTTTCGAGACTCCTTTCCTCATTAAGAGCTATAATGATTTTGGGTGATGCATCTCTATGATTTCAGTAAATCAATAGATACAAATCATAAATAATTTATGGTACCAAATTGTTTATATTTCACACACCACTCCATTCGTGATAAGTGTTCAGAATAAGCAAGAACTAGATTACTTTAATCAACATTTAAAATCCTCCTGCTCATTCCCAAGTCTTTAACAGAAAGATTATATATATACAATTTACATGAAAATTTATTGCTATTATTGCCATAAATTTTTATAAATAGCAAACCTTATTGAGTACATGTGAGTGAACTGCTTGTTAGCCTCTATACAATATCGTAATTATCTTGTGCATCGTTATTACTATACCGGATGTAATATAGTAACAAATATTTAGTACAAATTGAATGTAGGAAATTAACAATTCAGTAACTTTAGAAAATGGTTTTTGTGGGGATGTTTTGTATAATTTGGAGATAAATTTTTCTCACAAACTGATGTTCAATTAAAAACTAATGCATATAAAAAGAACTGTAATGCTTTTTTTTCTAGTTTAAAATTCCTTAATTAAATCTGTTTCAACATATTCTGTATAATACAGTCAGAATAAAATGATGATTTCACCCATTTTATTATGTATTTGTTAAAGGGTAAATTGATTATTGTAGAGAACAAGAAAACAGCTTTTAACCACTTCAATATTCATTTTCTAATAGCCGCTGATTATTTTAAAATGAAAACGGTACTTTTGTCAAAAAATATCGTTCATTGGGATTCACGTGGTAAATCAGTTGGTGAGGTTGTGAGTCTTTATCGACTGAGATGGCCGGGCCACGTATTACGCATGCCTAAACACCGACTACCACTTCGCACAATGCTGACTAGTGTTGAGGATGGTTGGAAGAAAGTTAGGGGCGGCCAAACCAAAACGTGGCATCAGTGCTTGAAGTCACTAACTTCTAGTCTGAGCCATGTTGGGAGATGCAGACTACTTGGTTGGGGTCCACGTGACTATCGTAACCAATGGTTGGAGACTCTTGGTGACATGGCTCAGAATCGATCACAATGGCGTCGGTGTATACACTCTTTGTCTTCCCTTAAACTATGAGATTAAAATCGCTTCATATCTTTATTTCTACCAACTAATTCTTTCTACCTGTAATGTATCCTTATGTGCAATCTTTCCTTTATATATTACCACCACTGAATTAACTACTATGATTCCGGTGTTCATCTTGTTATGCTAACGAGGTATAGCAACTTGGGTCGATGCACATATGTGCCTGGTCCTACGTTGTTGCTGACTGACTGACTGACAAATGAAATGCATTCAGTGAACAACAGTGGTCTTTTAATAAGGTCTTCTTTCTCTCAGTTGGTGATTTTTAGAACAAGTTTTATTATTTTCGGTTCATTTGAATAAATAAATGAATAAATATATAAATCGGTTCATGATGAAAAATTCACAATTGTTTCAAAGTTTATACACAAAACATTCAGTTAATATTCTCGTTTATAAATATCCAAAACACAGTTGAAAAATATCGCATTTAACTGTTTCCTTTTTTTCTAAATGATCACTTACGTTTTATATAAGTAAAATATGTATCAGCAATGATGTGGATGGTGACTACGAAACTGTTTTTTTCTGGTTAGCGTCTTTTTAGCAAGGTTGTTTTTAACGGAATAGGTTACCGACCCCTGTTCAACCCTTCTCCTTCATCTGGGCTTGAGACCGACAGGAACCCTAAAGGGGTAAAAAAGGTGGAATGGAGAAAAGCTATTATAAAATATTGGAATTTCTTAACATTCATTCTTGTATTTGTATTTAGTATGTATATTGTCATTTCAAGATACTAATTTTGAAAATGAACTTGCATTTTACATTTTATAATCTTATACAACTATACTGGTCTAAATTAAATGTGTTAAACATTCAGTTCAGAATTTCCTTACAAAAAATTAGTGATAATCATATAATTGTACTGAAGGTTCTTCGGAAAATATGATTTTTTATTAATTTTATAGTAATTTATGGGATAAACTCTGTTTTCCCTTCATTGGATAATCTTAAGATGTGAGTTATTTTTATATAGGACATCGTTTTTGAAGGTTGTGTAACTGTTATTCATTGTCAAATATCACTAAGATCCAAAAGACTTACCTTGTCGTCTTTCATTTTTATCAGTTACGCATGCCTTTATCCAAATGATTACCAGTGTTCCCCTCATGATTGATTTATTTATTCCAGAAGGTACCAAAAACTGGGGATAGAAAACGCGAATTCCAATGGTGTTTTTATCGATATAGATGAGTGACAAAAATGTAATTTTTAATTCGAGACTATCTATAAACCTAATTATGTGTTCATATGGTGGTATATCCCAAGTAGTTTTCGGATCATAACAACTCTCCTACAATCAATTTCGATTATAGTTAAATTTCGTTAAGCACTTTTATTAACTTACTTAACAAACAATGTTATTCGAATAGTAACAATTCTCTTATTTCTTTGTATTATTATGATCATTAGCACGAGAACGCTTGATCACATGTGACAGCCTACTCGTATATCTCTCTAGCTTAAATTTTATTATCTTAAATATCGCTCGATGAATCATTCTCTTTCCTATGTGTATATGTACGCGAATCCTATTATTAGCATATGCCTTGCCTAGCTGCACCTTATTTGATATGACTATAAATTTACCTCTACCTTTGCTCGCATACGCACATTCGCCTCTTTGTCTCAAGTTCGCTCGATGTGATTATAGCTTTGTTATCTGTGCTATCTGCTAATAAACTGTAGTCGCCGTTTCTTATTACCTTCTGAATTAAAACACTTGGGATTTATATAATAACGGTTATCAAGGTGACTGATTAACGAAGCTAAGCCACTACAGGATTACGTTGAATAAATAAATAAAATAAAATAAGAAACCAACATGTCATTTGTCTTATATAACTGAAAAACATATAAGCATGTAGATTTGAGGCAGCTATATTAAAGGTACATTTGATAAAACTATCAATCATTTGCTACAAACTAGCTATAAGATTTGTTGAATACTTAACATAAACAAATGGGAATTTTATTTTTATCTCGAATATTTCAAGAATCGAATGGAAGAAAGTCTTCTACTTTTCAAAACTATTATAAATTACGAATGCTTTCAATCATTGTCAATTATATTGTTCTTGAATAAAAAGGATATTTTGGAAGAGAAGATACAATATTCACATTTGGTTGATTACTTCCCGAAATTTACAGGTATGAATAAATGGTATGCAAATTCCTGTTTTCCTTATATGGTATATTTACAAGCTTAATGTCTACTATGATAAAAAATCTGTTCAGTTCCTTTTTGATGATCTTACCAATATTTCTTGATAGTGTTTATACTACTGAAGATACCTTTCAGTATTGAGTTAATTACTTTGCTAACAGACAATATTTTAAAAAATTAAAATCGAACTTCTACTATACAGGTTTGGAAAGACTATCAAAGTTGTGGTTTGAAATAGCAGGCTGATTCTAGTATAATGACCACTGAAAACTAGGGAGCAATGGACAGACATTTTAGTACTAGAATGAGACTCAGTAGTGCCTTTCTATGACCCTACCAGGGATCGAAACAATGAATTTATAATTTGTCATTACTAACTGAGTTCATTTAAACAATGATCGAGAATATCCAAACTGAAGACCACCAAGAGCTTACTAGTGATTAACTTGGATGAGTGATTCCCGTAGTTTTACTGAGAAGCCTTGACTATGGAATGTTACCCATTTTGAGGAGGCGACGAAATCGTAAATTTATTCAGGTAAAAACGTAAATCTCTGGATCTCAACTCAGTGGTCCAAATTTTAAGCGGTTGTCCTAGGTGCATTCCTACATGGAATCAATGATATGTAGTACTAAGGAGACTCCTACTAGAACAAAACAGTCCTATATTACTTACCGCTTTTATATGCTAAAGTTGGTCAATGATTTGTAACTTCAAATTTAAACCAGCCGTTTTGAATAGGAAAACACAAGGCAATAATAAGCTTTGTGGATGACACATACAAATTAGATTTGTAAAACTATGAAAAGCAACATTCGTTGTCAATTTTATCATTCATATTATTCGCATCACATAGTTGTACTTTTTCGATCAAATCTATTCCGCTCAATAATATACATTGACAACAAAGCAAAATTTAATATCAATTAAAGATGAAAATAGAGTACTTTATTTATTTTTAGGTCCTAAAAACGACGCAATAGCTGCACGTAATTTCATACTAAAAATGTATCAAGAATTGAATCTAAATTCAGGACGACCAATTTATTCACATTTTACTTGTGCTACAGGTAAGAAAGTTTTTTAAGCTATATGCTGCTTATTATTTGATAATCACTTTTAGTTCAAATTGAGGATGTAGTACTTAGTAAAGTTAAAATTTTAGGATAGAAACATTTAACTATCCTATTCAGTATAATAGATTATAGTGCTGTATATGACTTATCCAACGATAAATGGTTTTTTGACAGTTATTAGTGTGACTTTGATTGGTTTGAATTTGACTCCACTATGAGATTTCGAAGTGATATGAAATACTATAAGATCATAAAACCACCCGAATAAAAAGTGTTCTGATTCGGATATATAAGATAGTAAATCGATTGAATCGAATCACTCAGCTAAAAACACAATAATGTGATCATCTACTCTTGAAGCAGATTATATTTCTTAGTTACATGTGTTTACTTTGCGAAGTAATTTTCAAAATTTCCAGTGGAATATTACAAAACTGTGTCATTACAATACACCTAGATTATTAGACTAGCAACTAAATGAATGTTCTTTCCGTTGTTGTTCAAAGCGAACTCCAACATCTAATTAGTAATACTTACAATTTTATTCAGATTACAGATGCACTCACTAATTTGACTTACATTTCCAAATTTACATTAATCAAATCACTTTTAATGAATAAACCATTATTGGTTGAGCTAACCATGTAAGGTAAAATCTTAGATATCTATATCCATATTTGCTTTCAGCACTTTTTAAAGATCATGTAGTCTGTATTTTTACTGTGAAAATCATTAGATTCGTCATTTCACATAATTGAAATATGCAATGTAAAATCAAATAAATAATCGTTCAGCATTTCATTGTTCATATATAAGTATACATTTTTTCATAATTTCAGATACAGAGAATATTCGTGTTGTTTTCGTAGCTGTAAAGGATACTATATTACAAACAAATTTAAAAGAATTCAATCTTGTTTGAGTTTTACGCGCCAGAATAGTGGATGTTGTCATATAGCTAGAATTCAATGTGTACTATGGGATTCTTGATAATTTGTTTAGCCATTTCAAAAATATATTTCTCATCAAATCATTAAAAAAATATGATCTTATTGCTTTTCTTTCATTCTTTTAAAATCTCAATGTTACGTTGGTTTAGTTGACCAATAAAGTTACTGAAAGGAACAAATTTAACAGAATAGTAGTTTACCTACTAAATCAGAGGTGGGAAAATGTTTTATTTACGAGTTGCATGAGCTCATGTATTTCTCCAACCAGGTAACATATACAATAAACTAAAGTGGTTTGGATTTATTCAAACTCTGAAGTATCTGAATATTCATATGAGACAATGATAATCGGAATAAACTCTACTATACAAAGCTAATATTATTATTTAATGCCTAGTCTAATATCCTTAACCTATTCATTAATGCTTGAATTCATTAGCTCCGGGATATTAGTATTTGATTAAATCTGCAAAAAGATACAGAATGAATGTTCAGATTTTCTGATTGGGGACTATTTAGTACCTATAGTCAATAGAGATACATCGAGTGATATGGTGTAGTTCGGTTCATCCTCTACCTTCCCGTATTGATTTCAGTACATGTTTTAGACTTGAAACTTCTCATAAGAAAGGTTATGGGCACTAGTTTAAATTTTTAGTGCGATTGAGAAAGTATTTTACCTCAGACTATTCAGCAGGTCATACGTTCAAGTGTGACGCAGTGTCGTCTCTTAAATTCTCTGCTCGATGAACATTTACTTTCAGAAGGAGTTTTGTAAGTAATATAGTAATTTTAATAATTGGGATCATGAGTCAATTGGAGCTAGACCACCATGCAAAACCTGGAAGCACTGGACGGCCGTCTCGTCCTACTGTGAGACTCCTCAGCAGTGTTCATCCACGATCCCACTTCGCGAGATTCGAACCCAGGACCTATCAGTTACGTGCGCGAGCGCTTAGCCATTAGGCCACTGAGCCGCTATCCAACGGTGTTAATGTCTAACTTCAACATCCACTATTTTCATCAGTGAGTTACTACCTCAACTATTAAAGGAACTTGTTTGATGGGTTATGCAATGGATGTTTTTAGGAACAAACTACAGATTACAAATGTACTTTTTATATCGGCATAAATCCAGTAAAATATCATTACCCAGATTTTACTTGTGATAACCGTAACAGTGATACGTAAGTCTACATTATTAAGTGCAAAACAAAAAAATCCATACACATCGTTTAGTCAAGAAACAGAGTTTATAGACAGTGCGTAATAATAAGTGATTTGTTACAATTTCATCATTTATCAAAATTGAAATTTATGTAAAGTGATTTTGTTTTTGACAGATTTCTTTTTATATATCTTTTGTATTTTATACGTATTACACCTAAATAGTATCCCACTGTTCAAATATACCAAAGCCTAGTCACAATAAACATTTACAATCAACTGCATTAATTTACTTAAATACTTTGAAGAGTGAAGCTATTTCCCAAAAAAATAACAGAATCGCTCATAAAAATGGGTTTTACTAATACTTGTAAGTTATTTATGACGCAGAAATGTTAAATTTTAGATTGTTGGAAAAGTTAAACTGGAAAAATGAATAACTTGGTGCCGGCTGGATATGAATCTAATTTGAATGAACTTATGGATATGCTATGAATCTAAATCTTCTATTTAACTGAGTCTATTACCTAGGCTAACATCGTTTGTGTGACCGTGGTAAGAAGAAGCCAAACACGGGTGGCGTTAGAGGAATTTATTTCAGGCATTTGTTTATTGAGACAGAGATTTAGAATAAGCAGTGGCAAAACAGTAGAGAAGGCGAGCGAGCCAACTCCATTAAACCAAGCATGACTCAATATTTATAGCCAGTCAAAAATAGGTTACAGACACGTAATGAATAGGGTAGGCAGTACACACACAAACAATCATACCAAACAGTCAACGCTAATAAACAAATAATTATCAAGGTCAAAATAATATATGGCTCGAGAAGAATGAATAGATTGGTCTGTCCAGAAACTAGAATAGTCTATGTGGGCTTCGCATAGTAACAGCAGCAGCAAACGTATTAATTCCACTCAATTTACGGACATATGACACTACTGGAAAATGCCTTAACAAAACGATGGAGAGTGGGAATTCGTTTACAATTTCGACTTATTTCTCTGATGTTTGAGTTCAATTAGGTTTGAATGGTTTAATTCTTTTATCCTAGTTAGCGTTCTTTTTTTTTAGCAAGGTTGTTTTCTACGTCATGACCTTATGCCCAACTGACCTTGTTTACCCAGGCTAGAGAACGTCAGTAATCCTTGAAGAGCTACAGGAGGACTTCATAAATGGAAGACACTAATATAATGTTAGACATTCTAACTTTAGAAGAAATAAATTAGTGATCATCTCATAAATATTAGGTTTTGATTGAACATTAGATCCTTAAAACTATCTCATCGATATTCCACAAATGTATCTGTCTCCCAGTGTTTTGTGCATAGAAATTCGAACTCAATAAATCTTGACTCAAACGTTTACTAAAAAATTGATTCTGAGTAATCTCTGTTCTGTTCAATCATTGCGAAGAAATTAGTAAGAGTTTGTACTTTTATTTTGTGGCATGCAACAAAATATAAACTAAATTATTGAGTTTAGAATATATATGTTGTGAAAGTGGGTAAGTACAAGAGGATAGATGAACACATCAACACCAGTTGAAAGTAAATTAAAATTGTTTAGAATTAGGTCCGAATTTATTTACCTATCTAAAATGATATTTTTTATACAAAGAATCATAAAATTACTGTCATTTAACAATAGAATCAGTTTATTATGGTTCAATAAAATGGAACATGGTTACACTTCTAAACGAATAGTAATAATTATCTAAAATGAATGTTTCGACAATATGTTAAGGGAAAAGACTATTTTTACATATGATATTTTGTTTACTGAAAGCAGTTGTGACTTAATCGTAGATAACTGACGATTGTTTATTTACCTAATCTGTTTAGATTTTAGACATCACGTCTTTCGACTCATCCTTACATACTTACATACTTATGCCTGTTACTACCAACGGAGCATAGGCCGCTGACCAGCATTCTCCAACCCACTCTGTCCTGGGCCTTCTTTTCTAGTTCCATCCAATTCTTGTTCATTTTTCTCATGTCTATCTCCATTTCTCGGCGTAATGTGTTCTTTGGTCTTCCTCTTCTCCTCCTTTGGTATTGAAGATTCCATGTGAGGGCTTGTCTTGTGACGCAGTTGGGTACTTTCCTCAATGTGTGTCCTATTCACTTCCAGCGCTTCTTCCTGATTTCTTCCTCCGCTGGGATCTGGTTTTTTCTCTTACACGGTACGTTGTTGCTAATAGTGTCCGGCCAATGGATCTGAAGTATTTTGCGTAGACAATTGTTAATAAACACCTGTATTTTCTGGATGATGGCTTTCGTAGTTCTCCAGGTTTCTGTCCCATACAGTAGAACTGTCTTGACATTTGTATTGAAAATTCTGACTTCGGTTTTGGTTGACAGTTGCTTTGAGTTCCAGATGTCCTTCAGTTGTAAATATGCTTCTCTTGCTTTACCGATCCGCGCATTCACATCTGCATCAGATCCACCCTGTTCATCAATGATCCTGCCCAAACACGTAAAGGTTTTTACATCTTCCAACTCTTCTCCGTCAATTATGATTGGATTGGTGCATGCTGTGTCGTATCGGAGAATCCTGCTTTTCCCTTTGTGTATATTGAGACCTACTGCTGCTGAGGCTGATGCTACACTGGTCGTTTTCTCCTGCATTTGTTGTTGCGTTTGGGATAGAAGGGCCAGATCATCTGCGAAGTCTAGATCATCCAACTGCATCTTAGATGTCCATTGTATCCCGCGCTTCCCTTCAGACGTTGACGTCTTCATGATCCAGTCGATCACCAGGAGAAAGAGAAAGGGTGAGAGTAAGCAACCTTGCCTGACACCGGTCTTTACTTCGAACGACTTTGTCAACTGTCCTCCATGCACAATTTTGCAGTGTAATCCATCATATGAGTTCTGTATGATATTGACTATCTTCTGAGGCACGCCGTAGTGTCGAAGAAGTTTCCGTAGTGTTGTTCTGCCCACGCTATCAAATGCCTTTTCGTAGTCAATGAAGTTGATGTGGAGTGATGAATTCCATTCAATTGATTGTTCCACAATGATTCGTAGTGTTTTGATTCGGTCTGTACACGATCGATCCTTATGGAGTCCAGCCTGTTGGTTTCGAAATTGGGCATCTACGCAGTCCTTCATTCTGTTTAACAATACCCTGTTGAAGACTTTTCCCGGTATTGAGAGAAGAGTGATGCCCCTGTAGTTATCACACTTGCTGAGATCGCCTTTCTTCGGTATTTTGATCAGAAGTCCTTCTTTCCAGTCTTTTGGTACTTGTTCCTCATCCCAAATCTTATTGAAGAGAATGTGAAGTATCCTTGCAGTTGCCGCTACGTCTGTTTTTAGTGCCTCTGATGGAATTTTGTCTGGTCCTGCTGCTTTGCCACTCTTGGTATGTCTGATGGCCATGCTCGACTCATGTTCGACTCATCCAGCATGATTATAAACAAACCAAAAAAAATTTATCAATATGAGGTTGTGGTTAGCAATGAACTTTATTGGAATCATGAATCGATCTAAGATAGTGAAAGCGTTCTATAAAAGTTCTGTATTTATCAAACTTCGATTTGTAGTATATTCATTTTGACATCAGACACACTAAAAGGGAAACACTACAAGTTATTTTTGAATTTATTATTGAACTGTCCCTTTACCAGGGATATCGTTCGTGATTTTTCTTAAGGTTTTTCCTTAGATTAAATAAATTAAGCTAGTAAGTAAATTGTATTCCCGCGAAAATATCTTAACTCAGATAAGCATATGGTCAGTTTTAGGAACATAGAATGTTTACAATGAAATAAGTTTATTTATTATAGTTAAACAATTGTCACTTAGCATTCCTCGATTGTTTTTTTTTCGGTAGTGACTGTCAACTATATACTCATGGACTAAAAGATAGGGATATATGTGTTCACATAAACAGGGACGATATAAAAAGAGGAACATTTTAAT